TTCTTTCCTCTATTTCCTTTTACTTTCCTCTTGTCCCACTATCATGCTCAGCCTTCATTTGGGTTTCAGTAATTCCTCTCAGTTACATTGCCCTTGCTGAATACTAGGCCTCTCCCACCCTCCTTGCCACTAATTTTGGATCACTTGTTGTTCCCTTGTCCCTGGGTTGGTCAACACCACCTCCTTACCCCCGCCTCCCCCTTTCCCATGTCCCCCGGAACCATCGGTCCCTTTGTTTTCTCCTCCAGACTGTTCATGCAGCCTATCTTATCTAGATAGATCTTCAGGGATAATCATATGCACACAAAAACAGGCATAGCAAGACAAAGTGACAAAAGAGAACACAGCAACGACAACAAAAAAGAAAACCAATGACCCAGAAAAGAGTACATTAATTTGAAAAAGAAATTTTTTTTTTAATTTTGAAAAGAAAGAAAACCCTGTAAATAGATCAAGGTCTGATTTTTGACCTTTAGGTATGTCCTCCAGTCATGACTGGTTTTTTAAACTATGTATGTTTTGTTGTTATTGTTGTTTGAAAGCGAAACACCCTTCCGGGGCCCTCTTGATATACCTGCCTCTGCCTCCCACGGTGCTGTCCCAGCGAGCTGAGGCCTGAGCTCTGTGATATGGGTGGCGGTGGCTGCAGAGTGGAGGCGTTGACAAGGGTTGTGCAAACACAGCCTCTCCCGTCAGTAGGTTAACTCCTCTCCTGTGACCCTCAGGTATGAAGTTCTTCAGTTCTGCTGGCTGCCCCCAGACAGGCGGCCGGCCGCCGAGGATGTGCACCGACTGCTGACCTACCTGCGGATGCAGAGCCAGCGGGACTCGGAGGTGGACTTCGAGCAGCAGTGGAATGCGCTGAAGCCCAACACGAGCAGCCGGGACACGTCCAGCAGTGCTGCCTTCCCAATTCTTGACCACTTCGCCAGGGACCGGCTGGGCCGGGAGATGGAAGAGGTCCTCACAGTGACCGAAACGAGCCGGGGCCTCAGCTTTGAGTCCGTGTGGGAGGCGGCGAAGCAGGGCTCTGTTGACGATGGGAGTGGCCGGACCCCTCCAGACGAGGCCTTGTCCTACACCAGCATCTTCTTCCCGGTGGAGGTCTTTGAGAGTTCCCTCTCGGACCCCGGGCTGGGCAAGCAGGTCGGGAGCGGCCAGAACTCCCCGCTCAGGGTGCCCGGGGTGGTCCCAGTGTTCGATGCCCACAACCTCTCAGTGGGGAGTGACTACTACATCCAGCTGGAGGAGAAGAGCGGTGGCCACCCGGAGCTGGACTGCCCGCTGGCCCTGCTCCCCACTGAGAGGGCCACTGAGGCTGTGTCGCCCGGGGTGGCCCTCGGGAGCCTGGAGTTGGAGGAGTCGAGCACAGAGGAGGACTTCTTCCAGCCCAGCCTTGAGCCCCGGGAGGCTGGCGTCCCTAAGGACCTCCGTGGTGCCGGTGTCCCCGACAGCCCTTTCAGCAGCCTCTTCAGCGACCTGGACAAGCCCGAGGAGCTTCCCAGTCACCCGAAAATATTTGACCTGATGGAACTCAACGGGGTACAGGCCGACTTCAAACCCACCGTCTTCCATGTCGGTGAGGACCAGCCCAGGGAGTCTGGCACGCCCTGCCTTTCTGAGAGAGAGAAGCCCCGGAGGCTGTTCGACTGTGAACCCCTCTGCTTATCCGAAGATCTCCTGCGCCAAGAACAGCTTGCTTCTCTGAGCTCTCAAGAATTGTCAGAGAACTTCCTGTTTCTCCAGGAGAAGAACCTACTGAAAGACCCGGAAGAGCTGCAAACGGAGCTCAGAAACGCCGGCTTTCTCGAAGCCACACTAGGGAATGCACGCCGGGCCTCCCTGGATGCTGAGCTGAGGTTTGCCACAGACCCCCTCGGCCTGCCTCCGTCACAGGAAAGGGTCAGGACCCGGGGCCCAGAGCTGGCAGGCCACAGTGCCAGCACCCCCAGGCCATCTCCCCCGGAAGCGCAGGTGTCTTCTACCTCACCCGCTAGGGCAGAGACACCTGGCAGCCCGCCTCCCAGTACCCTCCTGAGGCCGGGGAAAGCCTCACCCATGGGCTCAGCTGCCAGTGCCCGTGATGGGGCGCTCTGTCAAGAACTGAACCCCGACTGTGGGCCTGTCCCTGTGGAAATGACCCCTACCGATGCCCACACTCAGAGCGTGGGTGACGGCCCACAGGACTGCCCCCGCCACAGCGAGGAGACTGTGAGACTCGCCAGAGGCGACTCCGGCGGTCTGGATGGGCTCTGTGGGGGGAGGGCAGGTCCGGGTTGTGGCCCCCTGGACCTGGGCCAGAACTGTAGGACCACGCTGCTTCCGGAAGCCACCCCCAGTGGTGTTCTTCTGGATCAATATGGAGAGGTTGTGGGGACACTTGGTCAGCTGACTTATAAGGACAACCCACAGGAAGTGGGCTTGGTGTCCGCCCTGTCCTTGGACTCCACCAGCCAGGACAGCCTCCTAGAGGACAGCCTCTCCACTCCCATCCCAACGTCAGAGCCCTCGGCAGAGACCCCCGACTCCCTGGACTCGCTGGGCCCCCCCACACCCCCGCAGCTCCTGCCCCCAGACAAGCCCGCCGACAGCGGCTACGAGACCGAGAACTTGGAGTCTCCAGAGTGGACCCTGCATCCTGCCCCGGACAGCGCCGCCGACGCGGGCCCCGATGAGGGGGACAGTGACAGCCAGGGGGCACTGCCACCCAACCCCATCATCATCATCTCAGACGCCCCGGACGGCCCTGCACAGACCTCCGCGCCGGGCTCCCAGAACTTCTACCGAGACTCGGCCTACTTTTCCGACAACGACTCAGAGCCTGAGAAGAGGTCTGAAGAGGCCCCTGGAGCATCAGGGGCAGCCTTGGGGCCCCTGCCCGAGCCCAGCCCCCCAGAGCACAGCAGTGCTGCCGAGGACTCTGGTCTGGAAGCCACAAAGAGCCACCCTGGTCCCAGCCAACTACCGCCAGCCCTGCACGACTCCAGCCTCCAGGAACCAAGAGAGCCGTTGGCACTGGAGCAGACTGGTGTTGGCGCCCAGCTGCCTCCTCCCGAGGCCAAGGCCGAGGCCACTGGCAGACCCTGGAGTCTGCTGGGTTGTGAGCTCAGCAGCAGCGAGGAGCTAGAACCTCAGGAAGACCAGCCCTGCTCCCTCACGTCCACTGGGACCAACACAAATGAGCTGCTGGCCTACACGAGTGCCACCCTGCACCCGGGAGGCCCCACAGAGCTGCTGGGGGACAAGGAGGGCCCCAAGCTGAAGGAGCCGGACATCGAGGGCAAGTACCTGGGCAAGCTTGGCGTGGCGGGCCTGCTGGACCTCTCTGAGGACGGCATGGACGCCGACGAGGAGGACGAGAACAGCGAGGACTCGGACGACGAGCTGCGGGCCTTCAGCCTGCACAGCCTCAGCTCCGAGTCGGAGGACGAGGCCGCGCCGCCCGTGCCCATCGTCATCAGCAGCAGCGAGGACAGCCGGCACCTGCGGAGCCTGCTGAAGCCGCCGGCACCCCCGGCCCCGCGCCACGGCCAGGCCCAGAGCCAGGGGAAGAAAGCCGTGACATTCTTCGACGACGTCACCGTCTATCTGTTTGACCAGGTACCTGCTCCCCCCAGGGCACACCCACTAGGGGTCCAGGCTCCTGTGCAGTGAGTAGCCTGTGGGCACCTGGTGGTCTTAGGAGAAGCAACAGGGTGAGGGGTGTGGTGAGCTACACGGCCAGGGCTGAGCTGAAATGCCCCTTGCTCAGGGAGGGTGCAAAAGGAGGGAGAAGTGGAGGGACGCATCCCGGTGCCTGTCCCCAGCCTGTGAGGCAGGTGGCCTGTGCTCCATGCCCTCTAGTCTCGAGGAACCGTTGCAGAGGGCACGCCCCTGCGTCCTGGGAGAGGAAGGCCCACCCTGTGCCCAGGAGGCTCTCTTTCCAAACTGCCTGTCACCCAGTGGATTTGGACTCAGCAACCCTGTAGGGCAGAGTGGAGCGGACTGCCCTGTTTGTGGTCTCCGACGCTGTGACTCTTTCCAGAAGCAGAAGCCTCATCTTGTTCACACCACTGGCTGAGGGTTTCCAGCTGCCACCCCTGCCGTGTCGTTAGCAGCCTGGTGCACAATCACTACACCATCAGGGCGTCTCTGGGTGAAAGCTGGGTCGCGATGAGTCGAAACTGATGCCAGGGCCCCTGACAGCAAGCAGCAGCATCAGTAACCTAGTTTGGGTGTGACATTTACAGACCCACCATCCCAGAACCCCACCGCCTGCCCTTCTTCGGCACGCCCACCCCACCCCTAACTCCTGCCCATCACCCAAGTGTTCTTGTCCCAAAGGGTTCTGCCTTTTCTAACGGGATCATGTGGTAGAGCCTTTGATTGACACCGGCTCCTTCGGGATTCTGAGAGATCATTTCCTGTGTCCCTGGCCGAACCTTTCTGATTGCTGGGGGTGGTATTCCTCAGAAAGAAGGGGAATCGTACCCCCACTTCTGTCCTTCCACCATGAGGACGTGCATGTCCCCACTCTCCAGCCTCTCTGTCCACTTCTGAAACCAGCCGTTCATGCAGCACCGTTCCCTGGTCCCCGCCACCCAGAGCTAGCTCTCAGCCCCCAAGTCAGGACACTGCCCTTCAGACTGACCCCGGCGGTAGATGCCTGCCCCAAACGGGAGTCTGTGTCACACTGGGTCCTGACCTACTGGCTGCAGGTTTTGATTTTGAGCCCCGCACCGGGGTTCCGGCTGGGATCTCAGAGCCTGCAGCAGCAGCCTGCTAGCTCCCACTGTTGTTTAGGGTCGACTGTTGAGCTCCACAGTCAATGTTGTTGTAGCAAAAGAGGATCCACATGGAGAGATGCCACCAGCAGGCCTGGGAGGGTGCCACAGGGCGAGAGAGTGGGTGGGTGACCAGCAGACTGCTCCCCTCCACCCTCGGAGTCTGGGTGGCTTTCACCAGCAAGGAAACCCCTGGAGCTCCCATGTCCACGTCCCGTGTCCATGTTGAGGGGCATTCCCCCAGGTGTGCGCGGCTCCCCTTCTTGGGGAGTGGGCTGTGTGCCCCATCCCAGCTCCACCGCTTCTTTCCACACCACCCTCTCGCTGGGCCGGCAGAGGTGCTGCCTCCCACAAGCAGACATTTGCTGACAGGAGCTATCTGTGTGGCTTTCAGGAGACCCCGACCAAGGAGCTGGGGCCCGGGGGAGGAGCCTTGCACGACCCCTCACTGAGCAGCCCAGCACCTCCCTCAGGCCCTCCCTACCTGAGCAGGTGCATCAACTCGGAAAGCTCCACTGACGAAGAAGGTACACCTTCCCCCCCCCTCCCCTCACTGCCGGACGGGGGGGAGTCGGGAAAGCGGATCTGGTGGGTGAATGGTGGCGGCTTGCCCTGAGGGCGGAGGGACTTGCCTGCTCCGCCTCGGCCGGGGTCACAGGACTGCGCCTTGCTTGTCGGTTTCAGGTGGCGGCTTCGAATGGGATGACGACTTCTCCCTGGACCCTTTCACGGCCTCCAAGCCTGCCCTGCAGACGGCCAAGTACTTCTCCCCGCCCCCGCCGCCCCGCAGCCTGCAGCCCAGCTGGCCGCCTTCCACGCCCTGCTCCCGGTTTTCTGTCTCCCCAGCCAGCCTAGCCAGCTTCTCCCTCACGCACCTCACAGACTCGGACATGGAGCAAGGTGAGGGGCCGGTGTGTGCTGGTGGCCCCAGCTGAGGGGGGGGGTCCCCTCGTGTGCCAGCCCGATATAGCTGGAGCATGTCTCTAGGGCAGGCATCCACTCCCCGAGCTCGTTACCATGGGGACAGCGTCGCCTGTGCCTTGCCAGTGGGTGAGGGTGACTGGCAGACAGTCAGGGCCCGCCCCACTCTCCCTTTGGCCCCCTTGTTCTCTGGGGCAGCCCCTTCCAGGCTGCTAGCGGCGGCAGCGGCTCCTCCAAAAGGCTGAGGCTGTGTCCTTAGGATCCCTGCCTTGCCCCTGGGAGGGGCCCAGACCCACCTGGCTCTTGCCCAGCAGCGCAGGCCAGCCCAGCCATTAGTCTTGGGCCCCGGGAGATGCCCCATGGGGCCGGGCGGCGTTTACCGGGCAGGAGCACATTTGAAGTCCTATCATCTGAGCACGTGGGCCCTTTTTGTCCCACCGCCTGAGAGATAAGCCCTAATAGGCATACTTTTCAAATTGGAAGTGCACAGGGCACATGACCAGCGTGAATTCTCAGGAGCTGGTGTTTGTGTTTGTTCCATACGGTGTTTGCACAGATTAGGGAGAGGCCAGGCTTGCTGGGAGCAGGCAGACGTGGGAGTTCAAACATGTGTCTGGACGGGGTGCCTGACAGGTGTTACTTGTGAAGGAAGAAAAGTGGCCGGGGCAGGTGTTGGCTGTCCTCACACTGACTTCTGCCTGTTTTACGGCAGCACAGGCTCGCTGCTCATTCCCTAGGCTGCTGCCACCCGCGATGCGTGTTTTCAAGGCCCCTGTCACAGCTCTGCCCCTGCCCCCTCTCTCCTCCACAGGAAGCAGTGAAGATGGAGAGAAAGATTAAGTGGGTGCCAATTGTGCCCTCAGAGCCGAGTCCCTGAGCCGCCAGCCTGAGCCTGGACATCTACTCGGCCCCTGCGGAGACGAGGCTGCGAGAAGGAATTAGGCAGTGGGTGGGCAGCTGGGCGGTGCGTGCTGGCACCTGGGTGCACGTGCACACCCTCTGCACCACTGAGCGTGGCGGGCTGTGCTGCCTCTTGGACTGTGTCCTGTCCTGTCCCCCTGCCACTGAGGGTGCCGTCGTGAGCGTGTTCATCATCGCTGCAGATCGTCAGTGCTTCTGTGATTGCGCCGTGGGCAGCTGTCCCGAGAGCCCTGATCTTGTACAGAACCTTAAGTTATTGCAGGGAATGAGGCCAGGCATGCTGGTGCTGCCCACTCGCCCGATTCTCTCTCTGTCATGGTGTCTGTCTGCTCTGCATGGTCCTTGTGAAGCGCTCAGCCCCAGTGTCTCCCCCGGGCTGCACCTGCAGCCTCTTTCACAAACAGTCACCGCTTTCCAGAGTCCTGGCGGTGCGAACGTTCTCGTAGGAAGTACCTGTGAGGGTCAGAAAGCACCAACCCCCCTGTCCCACGGATTGAATCAAACCAGTTTCCATTTCTTCTCCACGTGGTGGCCCCCATGTGGCTCTGCCACCGATCCCCACAGCAAGAGACCCTTCCCTAACATTAGTCAGTAAGGCAAGGGCGTACCCAGAGCCGGACTGTCGGGTTACTGTCACCACAGCTTCTGAGCTGTGGCCAGAGTGGCCGATTCCCTTCAGAGCTCAGGACTTCCGCGTCTCCTTCAAGGGACGGACTCCTGTGTCGCTGGGTGTCCTGTGGACGTGCTTGTAGCCCTTGCTGTTCCTTGGAGCAGCAGGAAGCTCCCAGGAGGTGCTGCTCTCCAGTCCTCAGGGTGTTGAGGATGCATGGACAGATCCTGTTTCCACCTTCCTGGCAATGTTGGCTTGAACTGTTCCGTGATCCCCAGAGCAGACTTTCTCTCTTGTCACCACTCCAAGTTCAGCCAGGCGAGGCCGGTCTCGTTTTAATCTGAGACACACACCACCTCCTGTCAGGAACAAGGACACAGCCCAGGCGGCCAACACGACCCCAGCCAGGACATGCGACCTGCGGGAGGCTATAGCTCTGGGCTGCTGGACCCGGACCCACCCACGCCCACCCACCACACCCTTCAGAGGTAGAGGCTCTGCCTGTCCTCCCAGCCGCCGCTTCAGGCGGGCTCTGCTCTCTCAGGAGAGTTTGGACAGGTGGATTCTCGCTCAGATTCCCCAGGCTGCCCCTGCCCCTGGCTGGCTCACCGTCCATCAGCACTGGGCATGGAGGACACGGGGTGGTTTGGGCTCCAGCCTCCGTGGTAAAGCCCGACCTTTCCCTTCACCTCCAGTTTGCTCCCCTGAGCGTTCACACTAGCAATAAAGTCCAGAGCAGGAGCGTCCAGCGGGCTCTGCCCCAGGGATGGACCCCCCAGCGAGGACAAGGCCCCAGAGAGACTGCCCGGGACACCAGGAAGCAACTTTGCCAGACTTGTCTTAATTCCGCTCTTCTCGTCAGACTTCTTGAGCTTCTGGAGTATTTACGTCTCATGGCCAACCCATCTGGGCTGATCTAAAGAAGTGAAAGGCTATTGGTTATACTAATTTGTGGGTCTTTTGTGTTTGTTTTTTAATTAGAGATTTAGGGAGTTCCAATTTTGTGAGTAGCACCCAGCATTTCCATGGACTGGAGTGTCCATATCCCGCCAGCCCGGAATAAAGCTCACTGGGATCGGGGGCTGTGCACTTCTCACCGCGGAAAAGCAGCTGTAGCGCAATTCCTCTTCCCATTCATTCCCAGCCGACCCAGCCTCAATCTTGAGCTTCAGTGAAAGTTTTTTTTGGTTCCTCCCACCTCTTTTTTTAATTCTCTCATGATCTCATAATTAATTGCCAAAAAATAAAATGTGTTTTATGCACTGACTGGGGTGGGGGTGGGGGGGTGTAGTAAATCTTATCCTACCGTGGTGTTGCATGACGGGGGCGGTTTTTTATTTCCGAAAAGCCCTTGAGGCCACGTGCTGTGAGCGCGCTCAAGCAGCATGCAGCAGGAAGTAAACCGGGAGAGCGGAGCCCCAGCCCCTCCGTGCCGCCGGGGAGGTGGACACCCCGTCCAGAGTGGTCTCACCTGAATGTAGTCTGACCTTGGGGGAGTGTGTGCATTCTCCCCCGTCTAGGAAAGAGCAGCCGGAGCCCTCTTTCTCCCTAGCTAGCTGTTCCCGTGTTTAATCATGAAGCCAGAAGCAGACTGAGCCAACCGCGCCCCCACACCTCCTGTGACACGGGCCGTGTGTCCTGTGAAGAAGCTGGCCAGCCAGCTCCGCCAGCCTTGCGGTGGAAAGAAACTCAAGATCATAAACAGACGGCCCCCTTCTCTGCTCAGTTGCACCGGTGACCGCTTCCCAGCAGCACACTCACCTCCAGAAAGTCTGCCTCGCTGTGGGGGAAATGCCTTTCACAACCTCTGCCCTCTCTCCCGTGGTGTCTGTAGGGCTCGTGGCCTGTTGCTTGTGAGTGCTGGGGGCTTGGACGGAGGGAGACACCTCACGTTGTCACACACTTCACTGCCCCGCGGAAATTCCAAGGGCCCACTCCCACATGTTCTGTGCCAGCTACCGGGACTTGAGCAGGTGTGGTCACTCTGGATCCAAATTGCAAAACCACTTTGCTGAAGTCATGATGGGGTTGGCTCCAGCCTTGCCTATCAGACAGGATCAAGGCCTGGGACACGGTGACAGTATTTTATTAGTGGTGGCCTGTCAGGACAGCGTGGACACAGGCCGTCTGCGTCTGGTGCTTGGGTCCGCACAGGGAGGCAGGTGGGGTGGGGGCTGCTGTGCACGTGTTTTCGGACAAGGGGCTGTAGGAGCAGTCGCACCTACCTGTCACAGCCCTCTGCAGCTCTGGCGAGATGCCAGTTCTCGAACCTTCCGTCCACAATGGTGTACATTTTTACATTGTAAGATTTTTACTATATATTGATGCATAGTGTGATTCAATTAATTGCTTGTAATTTAAGAATTATTTAATATTCAAAAATAAATATAGTTATATATTTATAAACTCTGGTGCTGGGTTCATTCTGCATTGTCTGGCCCTTCCCTGGGGCCCCAACGAGCAGTCACCACCAGACCCTTCTCAGGCAGAACCAAGGCCCCCCCATGCGCCTGAAATTTGAGAGAGTGTGTGTCCGTCCGTGTCCTCAAAGCATTACCTGCTTTAAGCTTTTTTTTTTCTCCGTTCATGATGTTGATTTCTGAAACCTTCAATGGACCCTACTGCCAATGATCCCGGGAACCCCAGCCGACTTCCTCACCATCAACCCTGTCTAGTCTTCCGGAAGTGGCTGTAAACCGAGGCCTGGGGTGGGGTGGGGTGTTCCTGGCACCTGCTCAGGCTCACCAACCTAAGTGTGACCAAGTGGAGAAAAAGACAATCCAGATCCCAAGGTACCTTCAGTTGCCCTGGAAGTGGCAGCACCCCACCCCCCAAGTGTACCACCTGGTCTCTGATCCTTTTTTCCCCACGACGGGAGTGAGCGAGCAAGCGAGCGAGGCTAGCAGGTGGGAGGGAGGCTGTGCTGGCCCAGTTGAAGAAGGCCCATTCCCGGCCAGTGCACCTCATGCGCAGCCCACACCTGCCTGCGGCTATGATGGTTGAACAGGTGTCCGCAGAGCTTCCGGGCTAAGATTCACACCAGGAGCACGCACCTACTCCGAGGGAGGCACTCTGGCCCACTAGTCGGGGTTAGCTTTCGATAACTTGTTTTGGACGTCCGAAGCAGAATTCTGACCCTTCCTGTGGGAGGCCCAGGCCCAATTCCTGATCGGTGCACCTCATGCACAGCCCCCACGCCCACCCACATGTCATGCAGGTGCCTGTTGCTGGGATGCTGAACAGGTGTCAGCAGGGCTTCCAGACTTGGACCAGCTTTTCCAAAGCCCACAGATCACAGCAACCCCATCTACAGCGGATCGTGGCAACAATGGCTCACAGCGAGGGCGCAGGAAGGACGTGGCAGGCAGTGGTCACTCAGAGGAACTGTGCAGTCACTTGTCATAGGTCTCCGGTCACTCAGAGGAACTGTGCAGTCACTTGTCATAGGTCTCCGGTCACTCCAGGGGGGTTGAGCCTGCTACCAAGTGAGGGGTGCTGGAAGGATGGAGACCAGCCTGAGGCTAGGGTTTGAGGACAAGTATTTCCTAATGACGGACACTTACTTGGATCAGGTGCCACCCACATCTGATGGCCCTGCACCCACTGCAAGGGTGTGGGGGCTGGGGCATCCTGGCAGTCTGCACCCCACAGCCCTGGGTGCTGAAGGGTCCCCCTGAAATGCCAGAGGGCTGGGGGTGGTCTTGTTCCTTGATCAAAGCCAAGAGGCTCCAGCTGCTTCTCTTCAAGACCTGGCGGGGCGGCCGGTGCCTTATTATTGCAAAACGGCTTTTCCAGGAATTGCACTCCGCGCTGCTTCTGCAGCCCCGGGCCAGGTGCGCGGCCGCCAGGGGCAGCCCAGGCTCTGCACCCCGGG